ACACAGCGTTCCCAACTCTGCACAAGGAACTTCAAAATACCAGGCACTGTCCCTCTTAAAAAAAAAAAAAAAAAAAAAAAGACTTCAGCCAACTTGAAGGTGCCAACTTCGCGTTGAGAACCAAGGCTGGGGGGGGCAATCCCACGAGCAGGGGGATTAAATCACCTGGTCCACTACTTTTGACCCCTCTCTTGCAGAGCCACACCCAAAAAAAAAATGGGTGCGGCCAGGGCCTTCTTTTGCATGGCACTGCCAGTCATTTTACTCCAGTACGGCTGGTAGGCCAACGGCCTAAACTGGCGGCCGCATGCACACGGCATCGGCAAAAAATGGGTGGGGAAACGTGCTGCTGGTTTAACAGTGCTGCGCGACACAGGGTGTGAATCTTTTAAGGGGCAACCACACCTGGGTCACACCTAGGGTTTGGAATAGGGTCTCACTGCGCTAGCTATCCGATTGCACCCCTCAAAAACCTTCGGATAGGCGTCGGAAACTCCCTTGGAAAAGCACTCTCCGCTGCTGGAGACTGCGCAGCCTGCAATGGTGGTTTTCCAGATGGACCCCCGCCGACTATCCAAAGTGCTCCAAATTCAGAGAGTGTGCCTGAGTCTGGGCGAACAAAGTGCAAATCAAGCCGTGTCCTCCAGTGCGGTCACCCTATCTGATAGTGCACTCACAAATTGGAGTTTGGAGAGTGGATAGTGAGTGCAGCGGTGAACCAAGAATCATGAATTAGGAGAGCTTTTCAGTTCTCCGCGAACCCTCGGAGTTTTCGGAGACTGGAGAGTAGTGCAGCAGAACTCATAGTCAACTTTAGCATTTCTCGAAACAGGGCAAAAAAAAAATGCGGCCGCTAAACGTGCAGCCAGTCTCAAACCCCCCCCTAAGCTTGCACATTCTGAAACTCATGGTGTCACTTTTGTCTTTTCTTGCCCATTTCAAACTAAAAGGTGACTCAGGAGCTCAAAAGCATTTCAAAAGGATTGTTTCCCTTCTGTTCCATTTTCTCTATTTTATAAAAGGGCTATGGCCTTGAGGTATAATCAGCGGACTACCCAGCCCAGGTAAATTCAATCTTGTGTCTAATCTGACATTGGGAGGCCTTTTCAGCCCAGGGTGGCCTTACTGCCTTCAGGGAACCCCCAATGGCGGACACCGGCCAGGGGACAGCTGGTAGCAGAGGGAGCTAGCATCATCTGAGTGGCCAGTCCCTGTGCCTCCCCCATTACCCCTCCCGCCCTGAGCATCAGCCAGCAGAGACTGGGACCAACCGGATAATATCTCTAGGTGGCCAGCGGCAAGCATGCCCAGGACAGTACATGCGGTCAATGGGGCTTGAGCCCAGGACCTCCTGAATGCCACTTGCGTGCCTTACCAACTGAGCTAGGCCGCTGGATATTTTCTCTGTTTTATTCTTTCTTTGTGGTCACTGTTCAGAGCACCAAGGGTACCAGTCATTATGGCTGTATGTAGACTGAAATTGCACCAAATATGGCTATAATGACCAGCCGTTCTACTCGGGTGAAGGTGGTAGCTTCGTTTGCTTGGAGTCTGCAGACATTCCTGTTTGGGACGGCTAAAGTTGCCTATTCCGAACGGTAGGTGTGACCCAGGAGCCGTTGCCCCTTTTTTTTGTCTGGTTATTGTCTCGTCAGCCAACGGTTTTGCCGGTTCTCATTTTTTAGGTTGAATGCCTCCTGAAGGCCTGCGTGGAGAGTGAAAACAAGGAGAATAGTGTCGAGCTCGAGGCCTGGTTTCACTTAGAGGCTTCCCACACAGGCTGTCGAAAACCAGGTTTTGATAATTTTGCATAGCCACACAGAATTGGGGCTCAAAAAACTTCCGACACGTGTCAGAATGGTACTTTAGACAGCCGCCCTCCAGCAATCGTTTCTCCCTGCCTGCAGGTGACGGAAATTTGCGTGG